ATCCATTTTCTATCACAGCTTTGTTAATCATCTCCAAGACATGCAGAGGATATACATATGCCCACTTTCTTTTATATAACAGCAAAATTACCTTTCCCTTACCAAAGTAGTAGCAGGTATTGCATATGTTATGTTTCTTACAGAAAGATAAAAGATCAATGCAATTTTTAAAGTAATGTGTATTGAATGCTGAATACAGTTTTGCTAAAATGTGATGGTGAATCCTTTGTATCCATGAGTAAACCACTAAGAACTGAAAATAGAACCAACCTTTAGACTCATGGGGACAGAGAGATGTTTTATATATGAGTCTAAGTAACTGAGACAATGACGAAAGAATCTTCCCTGAAATTTACTTATTCCACAAATTACTAAAATGATAGCAACATTTAGTAACATTTGCAGAAATCAGAACAGTGTCACCAGAAATGAAGATATTCAGCTACAAAAACTATATCCCATCACTTGATATTGAATTTTGAAAGTTTATGGAGTGCTTCATTATTATGGGATTGTTCAGCATTCATGAACCCAAATATCCTACCAAATATTACAAACTGGTTCAACAAGGTTAATTCCTCTAGAAAACTTTCTCACATTTCTTAAGAGTTTTATAAACCAGAATGGTTTTTTAGCTTTGCAGATTTAAATGTTAAACATAGTGTGTTTATGTAAATGACATTAGTAGTCACTTGAAATAGAGAAATTTAGTTTTCATTTTAAAAAAAATTCCTAAGCCTATTGGCTTTTTTCTTCACTAACAAGATGAAAATAGAACATAATCAATGCCATTAATTTACATAATTTATGCAGGCAGCAAAATTCATAGTATTATGAAGAATGTAGCATATTAGACCCAAAATTACAACTATGCTGGTGGCAATTCTACTTAGCCATCAATATTTCTAGAGAAGATGCATCCATACAACTTTATTTCATTTTTTAAAGGATATCAGCACATTGGACTACAGTTTATATCCGCTTACACTGGAATAAGTACTGCATTATTAGTGTCACAACACTAGAAGGTACAAGTGATGTAATGTTCTCAGTGTGTCATATGAGTATCTCCGTTGAAAACAGTATATGGGAATCCACACAACTTTTTTGAAATTATATCTGTTAAGCTAGAGTAGTTTTTAGGTTCCTTTTTCTGACACATCCAGCAATCAGTATACCTTCTAGGTAACATGTTCATAATACAGATTTATTGATTTATATATTAGTTATATCTCACCTTCCTTAAGGAGAGCAAGGTAGCATACACAGCGGTCTCTCCTTTAATTTTTCCCAAACAGCGTGAGGTATTTTGGGCTGAGGAGTGTGATTGGACCAAAGACTTCCAGTAAGTTTATATGGTTGAGGGTAAACTTGTATTTGGCTCGCCCCAGTTTACTCCAGCACTTGGAAATATTTCATACCCATTGGCTTGTGTTTGCACTGATGTTTCAAAATAATATTGAATATTACCTTCAAGTGTGCCCTCTCCCTTGCCAGATCATGTGACAAGTTCTTCCATAAGGCTTTCTACACTGATTTTCCCTCCCATATTATTCAATACCAATTTCATACTAAATAACACACCTAAAATGCCTTATAAACATTATTTTATAGACTTTTCCATAGCATCTGACTATGACTTGTTATTTTTTTGGAGAAGCATTACAACTTACCTTAGATTTTTTTTAAAGGAACTCTGTTCAGCAATTTTGCCTTGTTTTGACTGACACTGCTTTCATTTCATATCATTTCTATTTTTTTTTATTTGTTAGACCCTGAACTGTTCAAGAAACCTGGAAGTAATCTCTATGTAAAAGACTAAAGTATGCAGTGCTCTTTTAGAGACTAAAACATTATGAATGTAACACAGTTGTCGTTAGGAAAAAGAAACGTATGAATATGTGTGCGTGGATTTTGAAATGCATGTTAATTCAATACATATGTAGATTAGGTAAAATGTACATTATGTCCGTCTGCAACAATACTTGCTGATCCAGGAAATGATCATCTTACAACCAGAATATCAAAGTAAATTATTAAATTTAGAAACATAGCTGCAGTTATAGACTAGTTTCAGTTGGAAATAAATTTCACTGTATCAGATTTAACTTGATCCAAAGATTAGGTAATCCGAATTAAATTATTCAGTGATTAAAGCAATTTTATTGATTGCCTTCTGGATAAGGAATATACTATCCAATCAACATTAATAAATTGATCTTTATCGAGGCAATTTTAAACTACAGTCAAATTCATACTGATTGAGAGGGGCAGGGGTAGATTTATAGGCTTCCTTTCTCTGCCCCCATTCCCAAAAGATCCTAAGTGTTGCTGCAGCCATCGAGGGACTGCAAATAAGTTTGCTATATTAAGGTAGCAAAATACATGTACTGATTTGAAAAATGTTTGGGGGTGCTGAAACCACTTCCATCTTCCTTTCTTTTCAAATCCACTGCAGAATTTACACAGTGCCTTAACACAATAAGCACTGAACTGAAATTGAGATTAGGTAATACATTAATGATCATTGGCAACAAGCCCTTACATTAAGTACCTTGTCACCTAGTTCCTTGGATTCATATAGTTCAGAGACCCTGAATCCATTATTTCACTAAATTTGGCATGTAATACTTCAGATCTTAGGTGGATCAAGAAAACCCTGGTGCCATTCATGATCCCAAACTGACAGTTCCAAATTTTTAAATATAATTGATTGGCTTATTCTCAAGCTGCAGTTGCCAGAAAAAAATAAGTTTAAGTCTTATATCTGCAAAAGTATTTACACTTTCTAACATAAGCCTGATATGAAATTAAACTTTATCTTCAACTGCACATTAAATATCCTCACTCTCCTATAACTATGCAAGTAATAAAATAAGCCATTACCAAAGATTAATCTGACAATAGCTTTCCTTTTCCTTCAACTTTTCTATAAACCCTAAGCAATATATGTGGATTGTAAGTAGTCCTCGACTTGCAACAATTCATTTAGAAACCATTCTAAGTTACAATGGTGCTAAAAAAAGTTACAAGTCCTTGCACTTACAACCATAGCAGCATCCCCAGTCATATGATCAAAATTTGGTTGTGTGGTAACTATTTATATAATACATGACTGTGTATCTATTTACAATAGCTGCATCTACAACTTAATGACCATTTGATTCACTTAACAACTGCAATGATTTACTTAACAACCATGATAAAAAAATCAAAACAATCAGATGCAACTCACTTAACACAGCTGCTACCTTATTTAAAAATAGAAATTTTGGTCCCAGCTATGCTCATACATTGAGGACTACCTATATCAGTTTTCTGCTCATAAATGTTAATAAATGTAATCAAATGCCCAAATACTTAAAACCTTGTCCAAATGGTATAATTCATAATTTATAAATTTGTCAAATTCTTTTACCATAGATCCCTTCCCTTAGCTACTTCTTCCCATTACATAGGCTCTTTGGGGTGCTCTAAGCTCATACTGATGAATAAATAAGAATAAAAAGCACAGATCAGAAAGGGTAAGCCAGGATCAGAAAGTATTCTCCATAATTCATGATTTTGTAACATATTAATTTATGTATACTAATTTTACACACACACATATATAGAGCGAATCTTTTTATTATACTACAAATTATTGTGATTTATATTCCTTACTTTAGATTACTTGACCTTAAAGGTAATTTTATAGTTCTATATTTAAAAAATCTAGTTTCAGGAAGCACGATCTTAGTGTGAAAACTGACACATGATAGGAAACAGGAAAAGATAGGATTAAGAAAAAGGACTAGCAACTGTATTGGACCATAGCTTTGTAAACCACAGGTATGACATGGTGAATGACTAAGTGAATGAATGAATGAACATGAACAATTGACTGGATGCAAAGGTTCTGGTATTAGCCATTTGAATGTTCTACTAACAATGGAATGAAACATTGGATGCAATTCACTGGAAGCAAAAGATTATATGTCAAAGGAATATATGATGTGCTGATCAGCTGTTCTGTGCCCAACAAAGTGGTAGTAGCACTGGAGCTGGTGGCAGCCCTGAAGTTTTTGTTGTGCAGATCTGCTATAAACTTATTAAGAACTTATTCACAACATATTTTGTTTTGAATTAATGGACAATCTGAACTTTAATAACTATGTATTGTGGAATGCCAATTGTTGAAAAAGATAAAATGTAAATAATTCCAGTATAGGTTTTCTGAAACAATTGTGAAAGTAATAAATCGGTGGTCTGAAAACAAATCTTGACACAGCTGATAGGTATTGTGTGATAAATGTCTCATAATATTTGCATATTTGATCAAAAGGAATTATTTCTAATGTATTTTTCTTTCTTTTGGATTATGAAAGTATATGAAATCTAGACAAAAAATGGCAGAACATTAGAATAGCACAAAGAAGTAAAAGAGTAAAAATATAAGACATTGGTTGCTTGAATGTTGTCACAGCTAAATAATAAATGCAGGCAGTGAATCACAAAACTAATTTCCACATCTCATGATGAGATTTAAATTGAAGGGAAAGAAACTAAACATATTTTCTAAAATATCAACTAAGCTCCTAAAAGACAGAGAGAAGTTCTTCAGGTAAGAGACTAAAAAGGCAGCATTTGGGATATGGAAGTGTGTGTATTTGAGAAATACAAAGAGGAACTGTTTTCATCTTTTCTATTTGAAAATGTATTGAAGTTCAGAGGGGAAAACTCTGGTAAGTTAACTATCAAATTCCAAATCTGTTAGTTTAGTTGGAGTCAAAATATTTGAAGTGTTAATTTTACTAAAATGTATATTATATCATTCTCTTTATCAATTTATCAATTCAAGCTTTTCAGGATGAATATTGTTCTTCATTATTCATAATCAGAACTCAAAAATTAAAGGCTTAACATTCCAGCAGCCCGGATTATATTTTGCTTTGTAGGAGTTATCCGTCTGGAATGAATACAGAAATGTGGCACCGCCAACACCTGAAAGCTGAACTTACCAAGAAGTGGGACTGGTTGGGATACAGAAGCTGATATACTAGCAGAAGTGACAGGTGGCGGAGCATTTGGATATCCTTTGGAGCCTTCTGCATTTTCACCATTTCCTCTAGCTCCAGAAACTACTGTTGGAATAGGGTTCCCTATAGAAGAGTCTTTGGTAGTGTCTTCATTTATAGTGGCCACAGTAGCTAAAAATGACATTAATAACATTTTAAATAGCATAAACTTCTATTGGAATTATCTTTAACACCAAACAACTCTCACTTACAATTTGGGATATTTACTCCTCCAGAAGGAGGGGCAGAAACTGGAGGAACTGAAACCGATGGATTAATGGGAGGTGGTGGTCCAGGAGGAAGAAAACCTATGAAGAAAGAAATAATGAAGTATCACTTTTAGTACAGTCATTCATTCAACTGATCTATAAACAGAAAGCCATACTTTCTAGAGCAGTGTTTTTCAACCTTTTTTGTGCAAAGGCACACTTTTTTCATGAAAAAAATCACGAGGCACACCACCATTAGAAAATGTTAAAAAAAATTAACTCTGTGCCTATATTGACTATATATAAAGTAATTTTCCCACGGCACACCTTACACTATGTCACGCACACTAGTGTGCCACGGCACAGTGGTTGAAAAACACTGTTCTAGAGTACCTAACACATAATGCATATGCCTACAAACTTTCTCGGAACTATTAATATACCTGGTGGTAAATGCATTGGATTGAAGCCTGGTCGCATAAATGGTGGTGGTGGTGGAGGAGGAACTCCAGGACCAAATCCAGGAGGTGGAATTCCTAATGGAGGAGTAAATGTAGGAGGCTGAAGGGTACCAACCATTGGAGGACCTGGTTGATGTGGTGGTACCTGCAATTGGATAAAATTATTTTCATTTTATTGCAGTTTCTTATCCTTACAGGTAACTTTATGTCAGAAACAGAAAATTGGTAAAGTTCATTTTAATTAAACCCTCACCTCAAGTTCTTAATAGTTAGAGATTTAAATTCTGAATCACAAATAAAATAAACCACCGATAAATGCTATTTTTAAATCAAGATATAGTTCATATCGAAACAGTAGTGACAAAAGCAAGTATCAGAGGTTCCTTATTTATCTGCTTCTTCCTTTGGCATAACATATATTATTTCTTTAATTAACAGTGTACATTTAAACAATCTAGTAGCTCATACAATGTCATATTTGTAAGTGCTGATTGAAATGTTGTTTTAGGGTGTTTTCCAAAAATGTGTTTTTTAGATGGAGCAGTGCAATTAGTGCACCTATGGAATCCAGCACAAAAAGCTACTAAGAATGTTTAGGTTATAATTCTATCTCTCAGTGAAATTCTGTAAGTTTTCTTTGAACTGCTTTGCAATTTTCTTTTGTATCAAACTTTTCCCATGTTGGGATTCATCATACTGGACTACATGCTTCCACCGTTATAAAATTTGAAAATATAATCAATACAAAGTTTATTATGCATAATCAGCAAGACTAGTATAATGTTTGTTAAGTCCAGAATTGCTGGAGAATATCACAATGGGAAAGAACTTTTAATTGTTAGTATTTTTTGTTTGTCTGCTTGCTGAGTTGTATAATCATTAGTTGTCTCTTTTACTATCAATTCTTTCTTGTTAGCATCAATAAAATGATGTAACATTATCACTCATGATATTGTCATATGTTAAGTTGAATTGAAATAATTTATACTTTAATGGAACCAATAATAATACATTCCTGATTAGCATAATTCTTCATATTCAAATTTTTTAGTGCAATTGGATAGAGAAAAATAGTAATTACTAGTAAAATATTTTAAATGCTGCATCATCTCTATAAAACAATTAAAAGGTTAAAAGTAAATGTGTATATATTTTATTCATTCAATGTTTGTTATACAAGTAGACAAATTCAAAAATAGATTAAAACTATTAGATTTTAATATTTTTATAGTTTTATTTTCTATTTCCTTATTTGTTTACGAGGTTTTTTCAAATTGGGGAAAATGTTTCACTTGATGTTCAACAGTATGTTGCATACACTCATTTACAGGCTGTCCTTGACTTACAACCATTTGTTTAGTAGCCGCTTGTAGTTATGACACTGAAAATAAGAGATTTATTACCAATTTTCACACTTACAACCGCTGCATCATTCCCAGTCACATGATCAAAATTCGGACACTTAGCAACTGACATGTATTTATGACAGCTGCACTGTCTCAGGGTCAAGTGATCACTATTTGTAACCTTCCCACCCAGTTTCTGTTAAGTAATTCAATGGGGGAAGGCAAATTTGCGGTATGATTCACTTAACAACTGCAATGATTCACTTAACAACTATGTCAAAAATATTGTAAAATGGAGCAAAGCTCATTTAACTCTTACTTAGCAATGGGAATTTTGGGCTCAGTGGTTATGTGTCAAGGACTATCTGTACCATAAAACATCTTAATAAAGAAATTAAAAGTGGAGATGGTCGTTAGAGATAATATGCTAGGATAACTTTTAATTTAACCTGTGATTACATTTTTTAAAAAGAACTCTACATCATCATGTTTGTTTTCCATAAAAAAGAAAAACTACATAAATATGATAGTTGTATTGTTTCCCTCTTATGATTTGATATCCTTCTGCTATGAATTTAGCATCTGATATACACTCATCTACATATGTAAACACACTTGAAGCTATTACATAATTTGAGGAATATTTAAATTATTCTTTTGATAAAAATATATTCATTTTTAAAATTCTTTTAAAAGTAATTTTAGTTCTTAACTTTGTTTATGATTATCGTATTTTTCCATTTATAAGACAATACTTTTTCTTTAAAATATTTACCTGAAAATGGAGGGGCGTCTTATACATGGGGGACCGAGAGAACCAGGGTTGCAAAACTGCTGATACCTTATCTCTGCAAACTAGCCTCACAAGCCAAATTTCTGATTGCAGAGACAAGCTACCCTGTTTGCCTAAAAATAAGACCTCCCCAAATAATAAGCCCAATCAGACTTTTGAGCGCATGTGCTAAAATAAGCCCTCCCCTAACATATTTAAATGGATGTGCAGCCAGTCCAGGTGGGGGGGGAGGACATGCCCCATGCACCCCACATGCACCTGCCATCCATGTGGAACGGTTTTGCGGAGGCCGCTCCTGCAAACCCTAGCTACCACTCTCCTTCTCTTAGAGGCAGCCACAAAAAGAGCAGCAGGCCCAGTGATGCTAAGGCTGGCTAGAGTATGCCAGAAACAGAGACAGAACTTCCGGCCCTCTCTGGATCAGCTGATCTGCAGGCTGCAGTTAAAGGACCTCTTGCACCTCAAAAATAGTAAGACCTTCCCAAAAATAAGACCAAGTGCTTATTTCGGGGGCCAAAAGAAAATATGACCCTGTCTTATTTTTGGGGAAACACGGTAACAGGTTTCATCCAATCATGAGCCTTATGTAACTGACATCACCTGATGCTCTGGAGAGTGTGTAGCCAGTGTCCAGATGCGATAGTGAGCAGTAATTTTGGAGTGTTCTGAGCCCATAAAAATGTCAGAAAACAAAAAAATAAATATTGGTACCAGTAATCGAATGTCTTACTCTGCAAAATAAATGTCTTCTATTTCATGTTTAAAATGTTGGTTTCTGAATTTTGGGTAAGAAAGTGAGGGGGAGGGAATACTATACATAGGAAAAATCTTATAGATGGGAAAATACGGTAATTACATAATGAACAAATTATTTGATACTACTGTTCCTAAAATTATACTTTTTAAAAAAAGCTTGCAGTATGATTTATTTCACCCATATTTTTTTTGAGCAAAGTACTAAAATGCTCCAGAGCAGGAATGTCAAACTTGATTTCATTGAGGGACATACCAGGGTTGTGTTGGAGGGTCAGGGTGGGCATGGCCAGCTCAACGTCACTCATGTCAGGTCAGGGATGTCTGTGGTGGCCCAAGTGTTCTACCAGCAAAAATGGGCTTTCGAGCTCCGCTTTTGGCTACAACAACCTCCTGCAACCCTCTGCCAGCGAAAACGTAGGCTGCCCTCCCAAGCTCAGTTTTTCCTGGCAGAGGAAAAACAGGCCGGTCCTTTGCTATTTCCAGGGCAACCCCAGGGGCCGGATCAAAGAACCCCACGGGCAGATCCGGTCCCTCTGCCTTGAGTATGGCACCCCTGCTCTAGAGGTCAGTTTGGAAAATCTAACACACTTCTAAGGCTTTAATTCTGATGAAATCTACACCCCAATTTCTTCATGAAAGATCCTCAGAAATTATATTTTGTAAGTTAATACTGTATATTCTTTCCATTCAACTTACTATCTTCTCTACAATTTAATGGGAGAAAATCCTCAATTTATGCATCCCTTTTAAAAATGCTGTGTAATGAAAGTAATTTCAACTGGATACACTTAATATTATTTTTCAGGTTCTCATTCACAATTAAATCCAATTTCACGAATCTCAAACATGTCTTCTGTTTTCTATTAATTTAACACTCATGCTGATTTTCTTACACAATAAAGTTATCATGACCTGAATATTACAGGATGTTTGGCTGTCCTTTAAGCTAAAAATCTTAACATTACGAAGAATTTCAAATACAATTTTTAGAAATCAAACCCATATTACATACATATCAAAAGAAAGTATTTGAAGTTATACAAGTATCCAATGGAGGAGAGGGGGAGAGGCGCATTGAACTTGCCTGTGGTGGTGGTACTGTTATTGGTGTAGGTATAGGTATAGGCATTTGGATTGGCAAGGCTTTAGCTACAGGTGACGTTTGTTCATTATGTGCAGTATCACCACTTCCAGCTCCTCCATTCTGGGCTAACTGGTTTTCTGATTTTTTTGGAATTCCTTTCCATTCTATAAAAGATTAAAAATATTTCATCTCAAATTATTCATTCATTTAAACTTATCTTTAAATTGCTTTAAATATGTTTAATTTCTTGTGCATATAAGGTTGCCTAAACACATTGTGTACAGAATTCATACATGTCTTTATTTATTTTTCTTTGGATGAAGGCAATATTCTTCATAAAAAATGTAGCTCTTTTTTAAATACTGCATCTTCAACTCAGTCCCTTTATACTGCTTGCTAATTACTATATATTCAGAATTATGGTCAAGAAATATTTTATAGTAATCCAACACAGAAAACTTTCCAGTCTTTTTCATGAAAATGATTCTTTATAAAACTAGATGAATGATACCCAGAAATATAGACAGAAGAAACAAATACAGCTTTCACTTCCATTAGCGGAAAAAAAAATATGTATATTCCTAAATCTATTTAAGACCATTTCACAATATTCAAGTTTTTCTGTGTAACAGATGAAGATGAAATAAGCAGAAACTCAAAATACTTTCCTTCTCCATGTGTGTGTATATAGCAATAGCACTTAGACTTCTATGCCACTTCATAATGCTTTACAGCCCTCTTTAAGCGGGTTTACAGTCAGCATATTTCCCCCAACAATCTGGGTCCTCATTTTACCCACCTCAGAAAGATGGAAGGCGGAATCAACCTTGAACCTGGTAAAATTCAATCTGCCAAACGGCTGGCAGCTGGTGATCAGCAGAAGGGCCTACAGTACTGCACTCTAACCACTACGCCACAGCGGCTCATATGCTGTCAAGGTAGCTTCATTTTTTTAATATATGAACTAGAGCTCTGAATTTTGCAGATATTATTTAAAGTGGTGCTGCATGAAGTAGGAACACAGCACTAATTAGAAACTCATTAAGCAACTGTGTTTCTAGGATTGAATATACTATGGTGAATCTATGCTGCAGCTATAAATTATTGGAAATACATGCAGCTACTTTAATGAGTTGCAGGCAGGTGCAGTATTCACATTCCTGGATCATCCAAATGTCTTCCAAATTGAATCCAAAGTCTAGACAGCCACAAGGATGTCATCAGAGCACTTCAATAAGGCATACTTTATTATTTTATTTGGGCACTTTGATTTTCCTTCCTATTTGTATGCAACTGTATGTATATTTGTCAGTAATTTTTCAAAGTCACATTAACTTGTCAATTTGGCAAAAAAAAATATTCACTACTATGAACTAAAATTATATGTAAATATTGAAGAATTTAAAATACACAGACCCACATATAAAATGTACTCAATATATTAAATTTGGTTTATAATAATATGGTTATCTTAAATGAATGTTATCTATTTTTCTAGATATATTGTAAATTTTAGTTTTATGCATTCTATTTAGATCCTGCTTATTATTATCTGAATTTGTATTGTTCTCCAGAAGTCAGGATTCAGCATTCAGAATAAACACAGTCCTAAAACAGGTATAAAATTTAGGGAGACTTGTTTTATCATTGTTTGAGGGGCTGCCACAAAGAAGAGGGGGTCAAATTATTCTCCAAAACACCAGAGGGCAGAACAAGAAACAATGGTTGGAAACTAATCAAAGAGAGAAGCAACCTATTCCCTTCTTTTGAGGCCATTTTTCGCCCTCCGAAGCTTCCAGAACGCACCGGAGGTCGAAAATCGGCCCTACAGACAAACCTGACGTAACCATTCCCGAACTTCCGGGTTCCCCGTAGATCCGTTTTTCGCCCTATGAGCAAACCCGGCCCTACGAGCAACCTGGCCTATGGCCCTACAAGTAAACCGGAAGTGACTTCTGGTTTGTCCGTAGGGCCGCTTTTCGCCCTCTGGAGCCTTCAGGAAAGCCTCCTGAGGTCAAAAATTGGCCTTACGGAGAAACCAGAAGTCACCATTCCTGAACTTCCGGGTTCCCCATAGGTTTGTTTTTTGCCATCCGGAAGGCCGGGGAGGGAGACTGTTTTTGCACTCCCCAGGCTCCTAGAAAGCCTCTGGAGCCTGGGGAGGGCAAAAAAACCGTGCCAAAAGCAGTGTGTGTATGTGTGCATGTGTGCTGGTCACACACATAGCATTATGGGTGTGGCATGCCCGCACACGCCCCCCCGTGCTCCTCCCACTTTTGGTACGGGAGCCAAAAAAGGTTAGCCATCACTGGTATAGGTTAGGTCTCCTGCTTGAGCAGGGGGCTGGACTAGAAGACTTCCAAGATCCTTCCAGCCTCTATTCATTTTGTATTGCTGTGTAATTTGGGACTGTTTCATGGTCATCAACTATATCTTGAAATATTCAATTATAGTGAATTTGTTTACAAAACTATGTTTGCTGTATACTGGGTACAACTGTTTCTAAATGGGCCAAATCCATGCCTTGGATACCTCACAAATTGTGCATAATTTGGCTATACAAAGAGAAATTTCACTTGGTGAAAAATATAGTCAATTGGGTACAATATCGAAGCTACCTTTCACTTGCAACTTTTTTGGCTGCTATTTTAGCAGGCACAATTTAAGAAGGTAATTTTACACTTTCTGTCCTGACTTCCTGAAGAACATGTTCCAGCTATTTGAAAACTTAAAAACGAAATTCTTTTAAAATATCCCTGCTTTCAACTCCTTTAGTTGGCCTAATGGACAACTAATGTTGTTTTCAAGGTAAATAACAAGCTGTCTCGGGAGCAAACCAACTCTCTTTCATTTTTAAAAAAAGGCATCAAGAGGCCATACCTGCAACCAAGCCATTTGCATTCTTTACAGAATGGTGTTACCATTTGACTGTATAACTTCCATATTAATTAATGTTTAAACTTTATAATTGGGTACAGAGTCATTCTGTGAGTGAGATGGGCAGTTTATAAATTTGATATTTCAATACAAATAAATATATTAAGGTTTTACAAATGATATTTCAGCTTCTTGCATTTTAATTGAAAATGATTTTTCAAAACTCACTATAACCAAGCCTCTTTCATATTATAATACTGTTATGTTTTGACTGGGTCTGCATTTATTTTCATCAGCTTAGACATCTATAACCAAGAGAAGCAGTATTGCTATGTATCCCAATCTCATAGAATCATGCAGTTGAAAGGGTTATTTAAACTGTCAAGTCTAATTCTCTGTTTACTTATAGAACTCCAGCATCCCTGGCAAATGGTTAACACTCTTATCTGAATACACCTAATGAAAAGAAACTCTCCTCTCCCCTTAGTAATTCATTCAACTTCCACTCTGCTCTTTCTAATAGAAATATTTTTTTCCTAACATTCAGTCAGACGCTTCTTTCTTACAGTTTGAATCCATTACTTAGTCACTGGCATCATAACATGAACAGGTTTTGACTTCTTCCCTGAAGTATTGAAAAGACCGACATTATCCCTCCTTCCACATCTTTTCATAAGACTTAACTTCTAATTACCAATTATCTATATTGTGCTGTTTCTGAACCTATTCTAATATATTAAAATCCTTGAAGTGTAAACTTAAGACTGTGTATAATGGCGAACTGTATTTTCTTCTCTTGAAGTATTTCAGATATTTAGAATCACATAACTATTTCCAAGCCTCATATCCTTGCTAAGTGGAAAAATTTCATTTTTCTTTAAAAACTACTTTTTGTATGTAGCATCTAATTTAATCCCCGAACAACTAAAATTGTGGTTTTTAATTGATTAAAATATTTTATGTATACAAAGATTTTAATTAAAACTTCTATTTTTATAGAAGTTATATTTAAACATAAATGTATTTTCTTACCAGGACTAAGTGTATCATTGTCCAGCATTCCTCCTTCACAAAAACTTTCCAAATCTTCAGGTTTAACTTTACCCCATGGTATGTAGGTAACACCTAATTCTACATCCCAATACTGCTTATAATCTGGCTTAATTCCTTTATTTAAAGCCCAAGCAATCTGAAGGAAAAAGAGCACACTTGTCAGACAACAAGTTTTACTATTAAGATAATAAATTATATTCATTCAGTTCAACATAATCATAAAACCAGGTAGGTAATGAACTGGTTCAATCACAATTAAAGCTATGCAGAAATCACATATATTTATTTCATATCCCTTGCTGATTATAGTGGTTCAGCTGATTCCACCATGAATTCTTTTTCTTTTCATTTTTTTTAGTGATTTATAGTAATATGTTAAAAAAGATATAGTTGTGGCTCTTATCGTCAAATTAAAGGGGGAGAAAGAAGTGAAATAGGAATAACTGCCACGTTGTTTTAAAATTATCAAGTGCCAATCAAATTGTTTGAAGTAGTTGTCATACACAATCTGAAAAGCTAAAGCAGTTGAATCAGCCCTACAACCGACATTACACTACAGATAACCAGGGTATATTTCCCTATTCTTCACTCCTACAGCAATATAAATATGAACAAACACAATTATGTTAATTTACCTCAACACTTATAGATGATGTTCACCTTCTATGTTATAATCTTATAGGCACTGAATTACTGTTCTTGTTCAAAAATCAATCAATCAAAATATTCTTTTTAGGAAGGAAAAATGTAAACATAATACCTTTATAGATTTCTGATTGACTTTAAAGTTACCACGACTCAGTTTCTGCAGGGCACGGTTTGCATCTTGTCTCTGTACCATTATAATATAAGCACATCCTCTTGGGGGGATCATCTATTTTCAACAAAGAAATATTAAATTACTTTACAAGACTAATATATGTTATTTAAAATGTATTGTGATTTTAAAGTGTACCTAATATTATTATTAATAATGGGACCAGTTTGGTTTGCTGGTTAAGGCATCAGACTAAAAATCAAATGACCATGAGTTCTAGTCCTTCCTTAGGCATGAAGCCAACTTCATGACCTTGGGCCAGTCACTTTCTGTAAGTCCCAGGAAAAAGGCAATGGCAAGCCACTTTGAAAATGTTGCCAAGAAAATTGTAGAAACTTATCCAGGTAGTTGCCAAGAATCTATATTGGCTCAAAGGCACCAAATAATTAACTAACTAAATTAAACTATAACTAAAGACAAAAGTCAAGGAAATTATATTCTAGAAACTGTAAAACTGAATGTTACTTATTTTTCATATATTTGCTTTTATTAACGTACTAATAATAGTCATATGTCACAGAAAAATCTAAAGTTTCAAATGAACTGTTAACTTGCTTTTTATTGCTATTATTATTGCTATTATTATATATACTTTATTCATTAAACATGAAACTCAGCCAACTGAACATTCAAAAATTATTGTTGTTGTTGTTGTTGTTATATACTTTATTCATTAAACATGAAACTCAGCCAACTGAACATTCAAAAATTAATATTATTATATACTTTATTCATTAAACATGAAACTCAGCCAACTGAACATTCAAAAATTATTGTTGTTGTTGTTGTTGTTGTTATGAGACTGAAACTCACATTTATAGATTCAATTAGACCAAACTCTTCCAGGAGACCTCCAACATCCTGCTGTGTTGTTCGTTTGTCTAGTTGGCCTACCCAAAGGGTTGTACTGCAAACTAATAGAGAAATATAGTTGAATGGACTTAATATTAAAATGAACATTATTTCAAATGTATAAAAATCTTTACTAAATCTAGATCATAAAACTGTTATAGCAATTTTGTTAAAAGTTATAATATAGATAAAAATACAAAGAAAAATAATAAAGAAAAAATAAATAGAAACTGAAACAGAAAGAATAACATAAAAGTAAAGAAAAAATGAAATGACTTCCTTCTTCAGTACCATAAGTATAAATAATTTTAATAGCTTATCCGTCTTAACCTTTTCTTTTAAAATACAAAAAAAACAATTTATTCTTCCATTGTCCATCTCTTATCTATAAACAAATTCTTAAAGCCTTATTGTTTCAGGCCTGGTCAGCAAAAGTCCATTAAGGACTGCAAGCCATTTTTACTTTGAGCATGGTGGCTGAGTGCAAAAGGCAAAATGTTGGTGCAGGGAATTGGGACAGAAGGAAGCTGGGTAAGCTGCGTAATTCTGGGGCTGGGTGAAGAGCAGCCAAAAAAGCAGAGTGGGGAGGGAGGGGAGATGGAGAAGCAGAGGGAACTGAAGCGCCCCTGTGGATGTAAAATGCAGGCAGTCTGCCAGGTGCCCAAATTTTGATCATGTGACTTCAGGACCTCTACACAGCAACATTTCAAATGGAGCTGAATGAATGTTTGTAAGTTGAGGAATATCTCTATGCACCTGTGCTCTGGACAGCTCATGAGGGGACCACAGGAGAACAATGTCCCGTGGGGTTGAGCACCAGGAGATAAACGGAACAGCCATATACTTGCAACTCTGGCAGAACCTTTTAAAGGACATTAGGTTCACTAACCTCACTTTCAATTTCAGAAATTATTTATTTGCTACTTTAAAGCTATCAAATGTCTTCAGAACAAATCTGAAAAGCAATCTGTTGAATTTAAGTTTATTCAAAACAAAACAAAAAAAATAACAATAAGCTTAAGAATTTAATGAGTTAGAAATAAGTGGCAAAAGGCTAAATAAGCTTTTGATTCAAGAAAGTTATAAACAAATTAATGGTTCAGATAAATATGAAGTATTCAGACTTGTACTGTAAGACTTTGGGAATAATTATATAGCCATTCATAGAAAAACAATTATTCTGTCTATCCTAAGTGATACCATAAGAGTGGAGAGTGATTTCATGCAGAAAAGGATGTGAAGAGAGTGAAAACTTGCATTTTGTTTTTAGTTAGTGTTGGAATTTATAAAATCACACAAAACCTTGTTACACTTAAAATACTTTAGGAAATTTTTGAAGAATGGAGTCAGAAATTAACAGCTACAGTATTAGTAATGATTTCTGCTTCTATAGGCAGGCTACATCCAAAACATATTAAATACTAAATGAGAGATGTCAGACAAATCTGCCTGATGTAGAAATATTAGAACCAGAAATACTGGATAATTTTTTTTAAAAAAAATTAGGTCACAATATAGAGAAGGCAGCTAAAGTGGAAACATAAGTGGCAGGCCAAAAGAATGGCCAGGAGTAGCACTTTCTAGTGAATATACAAAAGTTACATAAAGCTTTCAATATCAACATAGAAATACAAACAAAGAGAATGATCTCAATAATGATTTTTAATGTAATTTACAGAAGAGGATGCTAAAGCCTTGAAGAAGCCTTTGGTTTGGGAGACAGAAAAGTTGAAGAGAGATTAAATCCTTCAACAACATCTGAAGAAATTAAAAGACTGTTAGAAGTAAAAAGGGAGAAATATAAAATTGATTTGTTTGACCAAAGATAAGGTGTTTTTCTATACAGCTCTGTTAAATCTTCATAGACAGATCTATGGGACTCAAAAGTTGACAATGTATGGATTTGCATGTAGATAAGGGACAAGTTATGGGAAGAAGAGATTTATTTGTAACCTTATAGATATAGAGGGTTAAGTGGAGGGTTACTAAGTTTGTTTATACTCATATGATAAAGATTGGAAGTCACTTCTTCAAGTACCTCTTTTTCTGTTCTTTTTCTTTCTTTGCTCCCCCCTCACTCCCCAAGTTTAGTTTGTATTTGCTTTTTCTATTGTACTCAAAATCCTTAATAAAAATTTATTTTAAAAAATACTCACCACTAACGGTTTCTGGTTTGATTGGAGGAAGTCCTTTTACTCTGCGTTCTCTCTCTCTCTCCCTCTCACGTCTTTCCTGGGACCGTGACCTAGGAGAATGACGGCGCTTGTCCCGGGATCGAGAACGAGAACGACGATGCCGTGATCTTCGAGTTCGAGAACCAGATCGTGATCTTCTTCTCTTGGGTGATCTAGTATAAAAAGAAATGCATGCAGTAATCTAGATACTGAGATGGTTCGTTCCTATCTTTTCTGTTTGTACAGCTGATCTCAGTCATTCACTGTGAGTTTGCTTTAAGTATGCCACAAGAAAATGACATTTCAAAAATGGGCCATTCTACATATATAGATGAATTGGAGAATTTTAAAAAATTTCATGTTTTCCCCCAGTTCTGTTAAGGATATCCAACAATGCAGAAAAAAATATTGGACAAATAACTCAAAATTATAGTTCAAGACTACTGATAATTCTCCATCAGACTTCAAGACAGTTGAAATTATCAAATAAAGTGTATAAATTGGAAACTCTTTAACAGCTATCTTTGTTTTTTTGTTTTTTATCCTTTCCTCACTTTAGTCTTTCCCCCTCTTCTTTAAGGGGCATTTATTAAAGAATAAACTTCTCATTACATTTCCCTTTTTCTTCTGTATTGTTCATATACAATAAGAATATTAATAATCACCATGATTCCTTTATTAATTTGTATAAGGGGTAGCAGAGAAAGTATATAATGCTCAACAACTGCTGATTAGGGATTTAGCAATTTTATTTTATGTTACTATTGGTAGTCCTCGCTTAACTATTATTAAAGGCAAGGGTACAACCATCCAGTCATATGATTGCAATCTAAGTACTTGGCAACTTGTTCCCAATTACAACTGATTGTCAAGAACCCCACAATCATATGCTCACCCTCTGCAATCTTCTTTGACTGCTTCCCCAGATAGTCAAAGGGAAAGCTGGCAGGGAAAGTTGGAACCTGCTGCAGCCTGCCAAGAGGACTCTTTCATCTCTGGGGGCTTCCTAAAAGAGCTTTCTAATGAAAGATTTCAGAAGCCGAAATCCAACCAAGCACAAGGCTAAACTCTCCTCTTGTCTCTCTCTGTGCCTAGAGCTGCAAGATGCTCACAGGCACAGAAGGATTTTACTTCCATGCATTTGCTTAACAACCAGAGATGGGTTCCAGCAGGCACTACCGTGTTTCCCCAAAAATAAGCCCTAGTGAAAGGGTGCCGTGGCAAGTACAGGAGGAAGCCCTTCCCCGGTCACCTCAGTGCTTCTTGGCTCCTTAATCGGATCAGTTGAGCCGATCCGGCTGCCATTCAAAAAACAGCTGGTTTGCGGGTGCTGCTCAGACTGTGGCCTCCAGCAAGTGTGGCTGCTTTTGCCATCGATTATGGACACAAAAGCAACAGGAGGCCAAGTGATGCACCCCACGCGCCTTGCACAGGCGTTCCAAAGGATACTGTAGCAGCAGTTATCCACAATTTGTTTTATCATTATTTCATCCTGACCCACGTGGCCCAGTGAGCCACGTGGATCAGGACAAAATAACAGTAAAAAAAATTGTGGATAACTGCTGCTACATGCCCGTGGGGGGGGGGGGAAGAGAAGTGACAGCAAGAGGAGCCACGTCTCGCTCCACACCTCTCACTTCTCCCCCACCCCACGTGCCACCTGTCTCGCTAAAGAGACGGTGGGGAAGGGAAGCAGCTTGGATTCTGTTAGCATTGGGGCGGGGTGGGAGGAGTTGGGCTACGAGACATGCGCCCTACCCAAGATTTGCAGCTCCGTCGTGTCCTCACTGTTTTGTCCAGGGAAGTTGAACTCATAAGATTTTTTTTTACAGGGTGCTTCCCTGAACAAAACAGTGAGAAACACAACGGAGGTGCAAGTCTTGGGTAGGACACGTGTCTTGCAGCCCAACTCCTCCTACCCCACCCAATGCTAACAGAATCCAGGCTGCTTCCCTTCCTCACCGTCTCTTTAGCGAGAAGGGTGGCAGGTGGGGTGGGATCCAGGTATCATTTCTGCTTCTTGAAGCTCTAAAGTTTTGGAGAAATTATGTGAAGTCAATAAGTCTTTTTAGCTGAAGAAACTTTATGAAATTGATCCTACTTATTTATGTAACTTTTAAAGTAAGTAATTTGAATGCCCTGTCCTAATACACTTATGGAAGCTGATGACTTTCAAGCAATAAAATGAAATTTTTAGGGGGTACTTCCTTTAACAACTTCTATGCCTTTTTATTGCTAGGGTCATACACTTCATTGCTTTATATGGTTAGTGTTGTCCTGTGTATTTGCGTAATTTGTATTACTTTCCACAATCATTTTTTACAAATTATTTAAAAATTATTCTCCCTTCCATTTAAACCTGGGTTATAAAAACTAAAACCTAGCCTTCTACAGTATATCAGTTATGTCCATTCACTTATTTAAAAAACTATTAATTATAAAGCACTCCTACCTTGATGCTGATCTAGATCTCGACTTTCTGTTCTCGTGTCTTTTTCCTTCCTGAGTTGGATGTTGATCCACTTCCAGTTCCTTAAACAATCAGCAAGGATTTATGATCAGTGGTACTCTTTTCTAATCAGTATCAACTTTGAAACTAGAATTACTGAATTACAGAAGTTTTCATCTCTGTTCCTCTAATTATGTTGAATACACACACACACGTACAACAAACCTGAAATATAATCTTGTTACAGAGTCACAAAGCTACATATGATTTATATTAAAATTGTAGTACAATGTATGTGGAGATTCTCAGTCATCCAAGTAATGATTGTCCCAAAGGTGCTTTTCAAGAGGCAACTGAACTTTATGGTTTTTCTTTGAAGACATTTCGCTTCTCATCCAAGAAGTTTCTTCAGCTCTGATTGGATATGGGGGAATGAAAGGATTTCTACTCCCTGAAGACAGCTGGCCATTTGCATTCTTTTAGAGTCACTGAGGTCATCTGGGGATGTTGTCAGGGTCACCTGAGTAGTGCAAATGGATGTGGAGTCTTCTTGGAACTGTTGAAAGGACTGCATTGTAGACTGGAGATAGAGGATGTCATATCCCTCCCCCTCTATTAAGAGAGAGCTGTTTGATTTTGATATAGATGGCCTCTTTGACCTACCCCTTTTCAAACCAGCAGTCCAAAATGTGGACTTTGCTGTCTTCAAAAGAGTGGCGTTAGTCTTTTAAATGGAGATGTGAGTAATATAATTAATACATGCAGAGTAAATTCCATTGCGCTTCTTGGAATTTATTTCTTAGTAAAAATGCATAGGATTATGAATAGCAAATAAAAAGTAAAAAGTTATCAATCAAATATTTTCTCATAAATACTCTAATACCGGTAGCTGACTAAAATATAAGCTTAACATCGATGATCCTTATACAGTATAATTTGAACACATTTGTGTAATTATACCTGAAATAATTATAATGTTATTTCTAAGTTATTTGATTTTTGTAACAATTTTTTCAATTTATTTTATTTTATTTTACAAGTTTTACAAAACAATATACCAAAAGAAAAATACATAAGCTATCAATAAACAATAGCAAACTAAACAAAAAAAATAACATCTACTTCCTCTTTTGGAATTCTAATTATAAAAATGTTGCCTGACCAATTGTGCAAGATGGAATTTTATATTCAATGCACTGAAAATGACATTGGCATAAAGAGATTTCTGCTTTAACTTCTATCAACCAATGTTGGACAAATGTGTAAGATATGTGTATTTATTCTGATTTTTTACCTTAGTACTTTATAACCAGAATAAAATTGTTTACTATTTCTCTTCCATCTTAGTTTACTGGTACAGATTTCATTAAAGATCTATTGAGCTATGATTGAAAAACATATCGATTTAAAGGAATGGGCTTCCCATTCTATATCTTCAGAATTTGCAAGCAGTTAGTTTGTCAGAGGAAGGTCATCCTCTTTATTACATTCTTCTGCAATTTCAAATCACTAGCACTGAATACTGTTTATTTAATTCCTCAACTTTAAAATCTAAAATATGTAACTTGCACCAACAATCTCATTTGAAAAAATCAATGCATGTAATTTAAAATTAGTAAATGAAATATGCTGTAACGGAATCTGGTAAGCAGTATAGCAACATTTTCTTGAAACAATATATAGCATTAGGCCTAAAATATTGGGTATAAATAGCTCTTTACCTGCTGATGTGCTTTCTGTAAATGTGATTCACTTTGTGCTGGAAAAGAAGACTGAAAAGGCTGCTGCACCTGAGGTGAAGACTGTATAACTTGTTGACCTATAGGTGTAAACTGTGGTGTAGGCAGAAGTCCATAGCTAGGCATCTGTCCATTTGGAGGGAGGGGGACCTTGCACAAGAAGAATGCACAGATAAGCAGTAGAATCTGAATAGTGTTTCCTAGAAAGCAGACGGTCTCAATTTTGAAATAATAAGAAGTAATAAAATGGAAATGTTTCCATTACCTGGTGAAGCATTGCATCCTGTTGCATTCCCAGCATTCTCTGCTGAAACTGATCTATATTTGGAAGCTGAGGATAAACTGGTTGTTGTAAGCCTTCACCTGGAAATCCACTAAGGTATAAAAAAAATTCAACAGGATATCAATAATACAGTATTTTGTATAGCTGATTTAAAACACTATTAATATTCCCTTCCCATGAGAACAGTTTTCAATTGACTGCATATTCCCCTCTCCATTTTAACTATGATTTCCATTTTTCTCTTCTCCATCTGTCATTTTTTAAAATCAAAATTAAGATTGTGAATTTGCATTTCAGTTAAGAGTATAAATATTCAATAGGAACTGAATAAGCTTTCAACCAACTAATACTTACATACCAAAATATTATTATAAACTGCTAATAAAATTTTCAAATAGTTATGCAAATCACCTATGAACTTTAAATTTCTATATTATCTCTTTGATATTAACACCTGCTTATGATTGTCAAAAGAAAAAAAAGCAAAACGTACAATGTTGGTTGAGAGAGTGAAGGAGAAGGTGTGGCCTCTTCTTTTTTTGTATCTTCTACTGCTTCTGGTTCATCATCATAGTCAAAGCGATCCAACAGCTTCTGAAACATATTACATTGAGCCAACTCTCTTTTCTTTCACAATAATAGAACAATAAACAAAACATGTTATTCATGATGTAAGTTTTTGTAAGTATTTTCCAGATATACGATTAAGAAAGCAGTCTCTATACTCAAACTATATGGGGTTGAATCGGGTTGGCCCCACAAAACACATCTGTACCACAGTCTTGTCCCCTTGCCTCCTCCTTAATCTTAAAAAAATGATTATTAGAACAGCAAGGCTGAAATAGTTTAGTTGAAATTGGAAATCCTAATACCTAATCCAAATACTAATTGTTTAAAATCTAACCTAGCCATTAAACCTGCCAGAACTAGCTTTAATTCTCTCTCCTACTTTTTCCAGACATTTCAACAATTTTAAGGGCAATCTTATCTAGGCCAAAGGTCAGATAAGACCTTTAGCCTAGACCATTTCAAATATTAAAGTCAGTATCAACTGCTAATCTACATCATGACTGCTATATGCACACCTGGAATTAATGCAACAAGCAGGTAACTATAAGACACTTAAAATAAATGAACACAGGACTGTATTATAGTTTCAGAGAGAGCAACAATTTTCCATATAGCCAGGACAAATTTAAAACATATAAGGCTCCATAAATATGCCAACATTATGGTTTACCAAAAGACAGAAATGGAAGATGGAATTTTTGCATGCATATGAAAGAATGGAATGCAAGGAGATGCCTCCAGGCTTGTTCTCACAGCACTAAACTACAGGTTGTCATGGATTTCCCCTGAAACAAGATATTTGGGTAATTCCTTTTCAAGTAGAAGAAAAATACTACCTTATCAAAAGATGTTTTTTGTTCTGGTATTTGGAAATCATGCTTTTGTTCTGATGGCTGTGTTGTCGTGGTCTGCAGCTGAGCTGTGATAGCTTGAACCTGAGCCATTACATTATTATCTATTACTGGAGACTGAGGTTTGGGAGGTTGCTGAAAAGTCTGGAGAATCTGTTGGAGCTATCAGATTAAAATTGCAACTGTTAATATAATTTAAGGATAGGGATAGCAGAGACATTGCTTAGGCACTATAAAATTTGGAGCACTTCCAATGTGTATGGAACTAATACAATATTCTCTCCTGCCTAAGAATTAATCTCCTAAAACAGTCCCCCTTTGTTTCTCATTACTGGGAACTGTCTCTTATGTAAAAACCAGAGAGGGGCTCTTTGGCTACCCCCAATTATGGAATGTAAGGAGATCCAGAAGGTACTACCCTTGGTTTTATTTCAATATCATTTAAGACCTGGTTTTGTATCTATACTTCTATTTGAAAACGAATTAAAGCTTTGTCACTTATTTAATTTCTTAAATATTTCATCGGTTGAATTGCTCTCTGAGATCTATGAATATTGAGTAAGCCAAAAATAATTGAATAAAATGAACTGTATTTCAATTACAGTTTACCACTAGTCATGATTTTACTTACTATAGTAAAAGATAGTTGTTCTTGTGACTATGCATCTACCTTGCAGACTACAACATGGTGTAAAAGTTAGAATAGGCATAATACGATTTTGCCATGGAAACACTGCAACATACCATGATTGCTTTTAGAGGAATGGAATGGCAGTGGACTGCTATTAAGATGGACTACTATTGGGGAAATGAAAAATACAGTTTCCTACATGTCTAGGACGTTTGATATTCTCCTCAGAGAGCAAGCATAGATTATCTGCGTGGCTAAACATTTTTTTACTCATATGCTGATACGTATTACAGCAGAAAACCGGATTTCATTTTTTATCAATGTAATTCACAAGTTTCCATATAGTTTTAAACATATATTACTGAAGATAATATTATATTAAATAATATTTTCTTAACAAAGTATTTTTAAAAACACAAATCCTTTGCTTACTTGCTGTCCTTGTGTTGTTTGAAACAACTGAGCAACCGCAGCAAATGCATCAGAACTAGGCAGCTGTGGCACAGGATCTACTGAATTAGCACCAGCCTGTGGTGGTTCAGATGGAATTGTAGCAGATTGTGGTGAACCTATGGAATATATTTAAATATTTAAATCTTAAATACAATTAAAGATTTCGAAGTGCTCCCATATTTAAACCACTTTATACTTCAATTTGTTATTCTAAAATGATCAAATTCTAGATCCTCTACAGTACGATCTAAAAGTAGTTTTGACCTCCTGCAGCAGGGTTCTTTAAGTTGGACTGAATATGAACTCTATATACAGTACTGTGCAAGTTTAGGCAGGTATGAAAAAATGCTGTAAACAAAGAATGCTTTCAGAAATATAAATAATGATTGTTTATTTCTGTCAATTTTCAAAATGCAAAGTGAGCGAACAAAAGAAAAATCTAAATCAAATCAATATTTGGTGTGACCACCCTTTGCCTTCAAAACAGCAGCAATTCTCATAGGTACACTTGCACAAAGTGAGGGATTTTGTAAGATTATAGTCAGGTGTATGGTATGATCAGCCAATTATGCCAAACAGGTGCTAATGATCATCAATGTCACACGTAGGTTGACACCCAGTCATGAACTG